GCCTCACTCTGTTGTTAAATAAACTTGGTCCTGGAAAGGATTTTTTTTGTAGTGTTGGTATGTATATTACTAATGAGTAGTTAACATCTTATCTCAAGTAGACGCTCAGACTATTCTCTCTTTGCAGAAGCTGAAATAATTCATGCTAAAGAGTAAAAGGTTAAAAAAAATCAAACAGGAACATGAAAGGAGTGACATTCACAACTTCAAATAACTCGAGCCTCAAAGTTTTCATTGTGGCTTAAATCAAGATATACGTCGACATTTACATCACCTAATCTGTTTCCTCAGATGGTTGTTTACACTTTAATCTAACCTAAGGAATCTCCCTCAGTGATACTGAAAAAAATCGTAGCTCGTCACCTATGGGCAGATGTTTTTTGGGTTTCTTATTGTTGGGCAGTGCTGTGTACGATTGCTTTTAGATATAAAAAGGAATTGAAAAGTAGTTATATTAACGAAAAGGCTAAATTTAACCTTGTGTGTTTAAATGCATAGTTAAAAGGACAATTCATAATCCAAGCAGCATTTATAACAGCAGTTGAACAGCATCTTCCTCACCACAGACCCAACAACATAATTCATTTTCCCCAAATAGGCTGTTTTAGCCTCGGTGATCCAGCCATCGTCGTTTGCTCTATCAACGATGAAATCACTAGTGTTTTGGAGCTGTTCTTAGCATGCAGGTGCCTCTTCACATCTGAAGAATAATGCTTTTCCTGCCGACAGACACTCATCAGCAAAGAACAATTTGCACCATTTTATGGTGATTGCTCTTGTCCTTTTCAGCCCAACATTCAAAATCATTTCTATGAGGTAAACACTGTCCTCTCTATCGTTCTGCACATGCCCCCCGGTGGAAAGTTCACAGTGTATGTTTTTCTGTTCGCTCAGATAACAATACCATTTGAGGTATGAGTTGTTTTAGCTGGCAAAAATTCAGGCTCCTTTTCCTCCTGCCGATTAGGTCTTTGAATCCGATCTCAAGAATTTAGCTTTGCTCTATTTTCAGGAATAGGTACACTACACTTGCACTAATGGTCCATTTCACAATTGATTAATGATCTACTCAAGAGTTGTTTATTTACACTCCAACTCATGTTGCGCATACCCCTTGTTTAGTATAATAAATTAAAAGGAAAATCCATGGATCTTCTTTATGGATTAATCAGTTTAGAATTGACATGTAGCAAGGACGTGCCCTTCAAACTGGCATGAATGTGGTTCACAACCAGTTAAGATAAGGAGTTAAATCTAACTGTGGGAGTTGTTCTGCCCTGCGTGGTACATTAAAATCAGCCTGACACCCAGTGAGACACAAAATAAATCTGTCCAGTTGAGGGAACCATTGATATCTCGCTGACACATCCCCTTGAAATGACAAGTGGGCACCATGACACATCAAAGTGGTGCAGCAGGTGAGCCAAATCATTCGATTAGGCAGATTTATGGCTTCATGAAACTTGTTATTACCCATGGCGCGCTCCACTGATGTTCAGCCTGATGTCTTTATGAGCGGGCCGTTGTTCACCTTGTCCTGACAGACATTGGGTGATTATTCAAATATTAGAGACTTAATTTATCTCGTTGCTTGGGTCAGAACACCATCTGTCTTTGCATTTAAAACATATTTGCCTGAGGAAAGGTCCTAAATGCTACACATCAACTTGTTTTTTTAACATAATGCATTGTTTATCAAAACTCTTTGATGTCAAATATTATTTTGTTTGTGTGACAAGATTGTATTCCTAAACTGTGCATATTAATTACAGAAAAACAATCACGGTGAGACACAAACTGATCAATCAAATCAGTATCAACTAATTGAACTAATTCAGCGACAAATAAAACCGAAAAAAGGGGCATTTTACATGGATGTGAAATAAATATTTCACTAAGACTCTTTTTTTAAGTATCATTAAGAAAGATTTCATGGAAAGACTCCTTTGAGTACGGTATAGATATCAGATACAGATGTTTTTATTACTTTGTGACGTATGGCTAGCTAATCTATTAGGGTGGCTCATGCCTGTGAGTATTTTCTATGCTCATG